TCCTGCCCCTCCTCCATCCAACACACTCCTTTTCCTGATAGGATTAGGTATTTAATAGTACATCAAAGACGCATTGAGGCTACATATGTCAAAGAGCTTTGGGGGTTAATCCATGCCTCGGGCCCTTGTCAGGGGACCGAGTCTGCGGCAGAGCCCCTCGGATTTTAGGGGAGGCAGAGTTGTCTCGGGTGGCACGCCTTCTTTGAGTGTGAGGCAGCGTCTGAGCAGAAAGGATATTAAGAACGTCATCGAGGTACGCGAAAGGGAAACATTCCTTAGGTGCAGCCTTGGACTTTGTCCTAGTTCCCAGGCCAAACTGTGGTGTAATCTTGGGCAGCTTGGTCCCCTTTCTGACCCCATCTGCAAACCTCGGGAGGTGGTAAAGGTATTCTCAGGGCCTTTCAGTTCTGACATCCTCTGACACCCCTCTTGGAGATCGCAGGCTGAGGGGACTCCACTGTAGAAGCGGACTCACAGATGGGCCGTAACAAAGGGCCGGGGTCGTGGGCAGGTTCCCGCCCCCAGCAGGTTTTGGAAACTCCTTGAAGCCGAGGGGCGGGGCTTGAGCGCGCCGCAGCCAATCACTAGAGGCCCAGGGCGCCGGGGCGGGGCCTCAGCGAGCAGCTCCGGCGACCAGGCTGGGTCCGAGCATCCCGCGGCTCCGGACGGTCCGGCCCGGACATGGCGACCGTCCGGGCTTCCCCGCGAGTTGCGCTGCTGCTTCTCCTGGCCGTTGCAGGGGTCGCGGAGGTGGCAGGGGGCCTGGCTCCGGGCAGTGCGGGTGAGTAACTGCTGGAGCAGCGGTTCGGGGCGGTCCAGAGCGGCAGCCTGAGCGCTCCAAGATGGCGCGGGGCAGGGGGCGGGGGTGCGCAAGACCCCCATCCCGGCCCACGTCCGGTGACCCAGGGGCCGGAGGACCCAGCAGGCTGGAGGGGGTGCCAAGGAGGGACGAGCGAGGACCTATCTCCACCCTCGCTCTTCCTGCAGTGAAGATCTGCTGAACTAGGAGCAGTGACCCGGGTTCGAGGCCTTGCTCTGTCACCCACCAACAAGGAACCCCAGCTTGGCCCTTATCCCCTCACCAGGCTCGGGTATCTGTCGGAAAAGGGTGAAATGCATTCCCTCAGGATCGTCACGAGGGTAGGATGGGATTTTGGAGGTGCATCCACCCAACCGCCGCCCTGACCAATTATTGTTACTTGACCCTCACTGGGTTCAGAAAGGCCGACTTTGGGCGGCGATCATTGATGGGCCCCACAGCCTGCCAAGTTCAAGTTTCAGAAAAGAATGGGTCCAAGTCTTCTGCATCCGATTCTGTTGCTGTTCGCTGTGGGTGCACTGTGTATTCTAGACAGTTCTGGGCTTTGGCGAGAGACAGATTAAAAATCAGTAAACCCTGCTCACAGGGGGCTGGCAGCCTTTAGGAGAGTTTTGTTCTTGCTCTGGATGAATTAAACCAAGAGTGGACAGGAAAGTGTTCAGTGTTCATTGTCTCCCCCATGCTGGGCTTTAGGAGTTGATGTTAACTCCTGTCCGCCAGACCTCTTGGCTAGGAGGTGGGGTCACACAGGACACAAGCAATTGGATTCAAGGCAGAAGTGTCCAGAGGAAATGAAGAGCTGTGGGTGCACAGTGGGAGAGAGATGATGTCCACCTGGGGTGGGAGGAAAATTGAGTGGTCCCCCAACTGTCCTAGATGTTAAAAGATAGCTAAGATTTACATATGCAAAAGTGGTGGAGCAGTGGCATTGCTCACTGAAAGAGCTTACACCTAGAAAGAGCAAAATGAACCCCAACAAGGTTTTAGGGGAGTTTACAGTGTTAAAGTTGTTTTGTTTTGTTTTGTTTTTCAAAGGCAAGAAAGTATTTAAAGAAGGGAGAGAATTGTGTCAAGAACCTGGGATTAGTTAATTGTAATTGGTTCTAAATTTAGCTGTCAATTAGAGGAAATCAAAGGAGAGAAAGAGAGAATTCTGTGTATTCTTGGCTAAATCAGCTTACCTTTCTGGGCTCTGTTTGTCTCATTAAGTTAGAGGTTGAACTAAAGCATTTCCAGAGTTATGGTCTATGGAATACTAGTTGTGCATTCTCATCTCACAACTAGTTGGTTTTGTGAGTGACAGTAGAGTGGAGTAGTTAAGAATACTTGAACAAGTTACTTAGCCTTAGTCTTTTTGTGCTTTAATATCCACATTTATTATATATAGTATCTTCTCATAGATTTTATTGTGAGAATTTAGTAAGCACTGTAATGTTAGCTATTAAATAAGTTTGGGAAACACTGCACATTGTACCCCTTTCTTATAAATTCACAAAACATGTTAGATTCCCAATAAAGAGTTCAAGGTTTTCTGTGGTAAAGAAACTTGTTTGCTGGGGGAGCCAGGTAATGACCACTAAAAGGTATGGAGTTTCTTTTTAGGGTGATGAAAATGTTCTAAAGTTAGATGGTGGTAATGGTTGCACAACTCCATGAATATACTAAAACTAACTGAATGTATATTTTAAAAGGATGAATTTCGTAGTAAGTGATTGTTAATATGTAAACTGAGGCATATTAAAATATTTAAGAGTTTATTTGAGCAAAAATCAATTCAAATAACTAGCGCCAAATGGGAAGTGATAGGAGCTAGGGGAAAGACTTTCATTGAGAAGAGGCGGAAGCAAAGCAAAGGAATTATTTGATTGGCCATAGCTTAAGTGAATACCTTATTTGAGAAAGCCTTGGTAGCTATTTGTGACTTGTCCTGAGGTGTGATTTCTTAGCCTTGAGATATCATAGGCTTTGGTTTTGGTTTGCTTAAGTAGGCTACTAAGGCAATAAAGCACCTCGGTCTCCTGATTTAATTAATTTGACATGATTTATATCAGTAAAATTATTATCGAAAGATAGAAACTTGTTTGCTCATAGTACTCTTTTTCTTCATAACACGTAAAGCACACTTTAGAAAACACTGGGCTAGATGATTTCTGTAGGCCCTTCCAGCTCTGAAAGTCCATGACAGCATAGAATTTGCACTGTTTGATAAAAAGAAAATTTTCAAGTTTGATGTAGAAGTGAGATTTGTCCCTCTTACTAAATTCTAGGAAGCATATATTGCGTGTTTCTTTACATAAAGGACATTGAGTAATACAATGGACAAAAGCTTCCACTGTGGATACGTAGAAAGTGTGGAAAATGTTCTTCAATGCTAAACAAAAGTTGAGAACACAATATTAAATTGTATTTCAATGAAGGCTTAGCTTGTATTTTTGCTGAGACAGTCTTCTTTTCCCCTCTCTTGACCCCATCCAAGGTTGGGTACTCCTGTCTCCTGATATAAGGCTTTACAAGTCTTATCTGTTCTTAGAGATTTTTCATTCCTATTCCTTCAGGTGGAGGTGAGGGAGTGATATTACTTGCAAAGTGATTATCATCTCTTGAGAAGTTTGGCCACGCCCTCTACACTAGAGTAATACCACACTTCCTATTTCAGTGTACTTTACAGTCCCACTCCTAACTGCTCCCCTACGCCTCCGCCCCCTTCCCACACTTCTGGTGTTCTCTTTGAAGGATGGGATAGGACCTTATGCTGCAGTCACGGGATGTCTGTCATGGCACCTGATAATAGCTCTGTTTCTATTTAAGATGTTTTGTAATAGTACAAAAGAGGGAAAGATGTAACATTAAGGGCTAGGTTTCAGTAAGTTGACATTTAAGGAATTATGTAATAGTCAGCCTGGAATCCTGAAAAAGAATGTAATAAATTTTAAGTTAGAAAAAGCAAACGCCTATCTGGAAGAAAGTAATAAGAAGCAGATTTCCTTCCCAAAGAAATATCTTGGCCCACACACTGTAGGAAGAGCTAGGATTGCTGGTAGACCAGGTATGACAGTTTATTCTGGTATGCTGCTAAAAGTTCCTATCTTATATCCATAGATTTAGGCAATCTTTCATTAATTATACTTTTCACTATATGCCACTTGTAGAAGAAAGTGGTATGATGTCAAGAGATGGTTTTTATATATTAAAAATGTGGATTTTAAAAGAGCAAAACAGATGTTACAGATGTTTATTCAAAAGTATTTATTGAGTGCTTACTATGTCACACTGTTCTAGGGTAGGATCGATATTCTTGAGGATAGGCAATCTTTCATTAATTATACTTTTCACTATATGCCACTTGTAGAAGAAAGTGGTATGATGTCAAGAGATGGTTTTTATATATTAAAAATGTGGATTTTAAAAGAGCAAAACAGATGTTACAGATGTTTATTCAAGAGTATTTATTGAGTGCTTACTATGTCACATTGTTCTAGGGTAGGATTGATGTTCTTGAGGAGCTTACATTCTTTTTTTTTTTAATAGAAGATATAATTTTACTTTATTATTTTTTTAAATTAAGTTTATTAGGGTAACAGTTAATACAATTATATAATTTGTCATCTATATATTCTATTGAGGAGCTTACATTTTAGTGGAGGAGAGAAAGACAATAAACAAAAAATGATTTCTGGTAGCGCTGAGTAATCTCTGAAGGAAACTAGATGATAACATAGAGAATTATGTGAGTATAGGGGGAATGCTTCTTTAAATAGTGATGACTAGCGAGGCCTCTTTTAGAATTAAAGTTCAAAACCAAGATCTGAAGACGTAGGTGCTTTCCTTAGGAAAAATGGGTAGAGACCAGAAAGTCCAGAGGCTCTAAGGAAAAAAGGAGCAGAATGAGCAAGAGAGTAGTCTAGGGCTAAATGGTGCTGAGCTTTGCAAAGAGCCACAGAAGGGTTGTGGGTTTTATACTGTGTGCCGATAGAAACCAATAGCCTTTTAAGTAAGAGATGTGTGCTTTGGCTCCTGAATGGAAAAAAAAAAGCAATTGTAGTGAGGAAGGAGTAAAAGCAGGGTGACTAGAAAAGCCATTGCAGTACTTGGAGCAGGATATGATGGTGACTTAGAGTAGAGTGGTGGTGGAGATAGAAGAAGAGAGATTTAAGATATATTGCTGATGGATTGGATGTGGGAAGTGGGGGAAGGAGGAATTTAAGATTTCTCATAAATTTTTACCTTGAGCAACTAAGTGAAAAATGATGCCATTTGCTGATGTTGGGAAGATGGGGAGGAGCAGAATGGAGGAGGGGTGTCAGGTGAGTCAGGAAGAGAATCAAAAGTTCTATTTTTGTATATGTTTGAGATGGATATCAGGAATAACTGCCCCAGGTTCTTTTCTTATTAAGCTAAATTTCATACCTGTCAGTAATCCATTCATCAAATATTTGTCAAGGTGTTAATAGTGCCAGACACCATGATAGGCACTAGATATAAAACTGTAGTTGAAAACAGAAATGGTCTCTGTTTTCATGGGGTTTATGATTTAGTGAGAAGTTCAGATATTAAATATCACTAAAAATATGTAATATCTACATTGCTAATACTGTGTGGTTATATTAGTACATATCTATTTATATTCTAAATCTCAAGAATATATTTGAGGAAAAATCATGGAACTTAGTCAAGTAAGTATATAGCACATAATATGATGGATGTTGTAAAGTATCTGTAGATAACATGAAGGGGACCTCAAGACAAGGGTAGTATTAAGAGAAACATTCTGACCATGGAATATACCATTGGAAACCAGACATTGACACTCACATTTTTCTTTCCACCTGCCTGCCTTCCTTCCTTCCTTCCTTCCTTCCTTCCTTCCTTCCTTCCTTCCTTCCTTCCTTCCTTTCTTCCTTATTTGTTTACTTATTTATTGTTTTACATTCACATTTTTAGATCCCTTGTTTTGTAAATGG